CCTTCTGAGTACTTTACCCCCTGAAAGAGTATTGTCTATATAGGTATTATATTGGTATATAGGTATATATCGTATAGCCCCCATATAACGATACCTCCCGATATACGGTATTTTGAAGATTTTAGCTACATTTTCAATGGAATTGTCCGAAAACTAACACAAGGTGTTCCTTTTGAATACTTAGCGCCCTTGAAGAGTCTATATAGGTCCACGATATCGTATAGCCCTCATACAAAGGTACCCCCCCCCCATTATTTAATATTTTAATGATTTTAGACATTTTTCACCGTAGTTGTTTCAAATTTCGTATTTATAGTTCGTAATAGGAACTACAGTCTAACACAGAAAATTTCGTATATGGTCCATATATCAGTACCTCCCTATATTCGGTATTTTGACGATTTTAGGTAGGAAGTTCCTAATAGGTACTACAGCCTGTGACAGAAAATTGTCAATGCAGGTCCAGGTCTTCGTATAGCTCCGAAATAACGGTACCTCCCTATATTCGGTATTTGGCGATTTTAGATAAAATATTTACCGAAATTGTTTCAAATTTAGTATTTGAAGTTCGTAATGAATACTAAAGCCTTAGAAAGAAAATTGTCTGTGCAGGTCCAGGTCTTCGTATAGGCCCCATATATCAGTACCTCCCTATATATTTGGTATTTCGACGATTTCAGTTACAATATTCACCGAAATTGTTTGAGATGTCGTATTTGAAGTTCCTAATAGGTACTACAGCCTGTGACAGAATATTGCCTATGCAGGTCCAGGCCTTCGTATAGGCTTATGACAAAAGTTGCCTATTCAGGTCCACGTCTTCGAATAGACTCCAATATAATGATATTCGGTATTTTTAAAATTTTAACAGAATTTTTAACGGATTTTATTTTCTTTTTTTGAAAATTTCCAAATTTGTTCTACGTGATGGAGGATATTAAAAGTTCGACGTAGTAAAAAGTTTTACATTCTTACCGTTCTGGAACAGACCATATGTTTTTTTCGGATGAAAATAGAGCTCGCTGTGATCGAAAATGTACATATGTACTTTTCTCATGTATTTTACAACTGAAATGTCATGGCCATATATCACACGATGTTTGCAACTTTTACATATGGAAAATTTTACACTGAATATGTAAAACACTGACCGTCTTATAGAAGATTAATCAGCTTATTGAAAATCTTCAGTTTTGTGGCAAATGTCAAATGTTTTAAAAATTTTTTACAAAAAGCATTTAACATTTTTCAAAGTAGCTGTTACTTTGCTTGATTTTACTTAAAGTTGTCCAAAAACTTTTCCAGTACCTGCAAAATTTTTTTTCGATATCATCAAGGGAAAATCGTTTATCGTAGCAACAACTTTTACATTCTTGCAGTCCTGGAACAGACCATTTGCAAATTCTCTCCACAAATGAAGGACAAATGTTGACATTTGATGTTTCGATCATCTGTTTTGTGATTAGATTCTAATACAGACTTATTTTATGTAACTGTGCATCTTTATAATAAAAATAAGTTTCTAAATCTCCCCAAACAAATTTATTAAATAAATCTTACATTTCCACCCACTGTGCCTAACCACCACATGCCTTAATTAGACAGTAATGTTCGCATGCTTGTTTTCAATTTAGTTATGATTTTCTTCAAATCGATTTTAATTACCCATTGCGTGCTTTTACAAGCATGGGGAGGGACGGAGGAGGCGGAAAAACTAACAATTAAAAGTCCACAAACAATCAAGTTTCCTATAAGTGGATAATAAATCATCAAATCTCAGGAAATTGATTTATGTTTATGATATGGAAATTTTTTTACATTCATATTTCATTTTGCATACATTTTGGAAAAACTATGACCCATATATGGAGTAAAAGTTTGGGAGATTGCGATTGTATGAGAAGTAGTAGTATGTAAACCAGGTTTGTGTGTAAACGTACTTTTAGTTAAAAAAAAAACAAATAAGTTTAGGGTGACCTAGTTCAAAATCGGACCATAAATGGAACTAGGTTAACTTGAATCCATGGTAGAAGAATATAGGTAGACGCATCGACACAGCTGCTGGGACAATGAACTGTCAAATTAGAAATTATTGAAAAAACGCTTATTATAATATCTTCCGAATGTCGTCGTATAAGAAAACATATAAAAATCTACTCATATTTGAAATGACATTTAAAATTTTTTGACACATCAATATTCCTAAGCTTTAATGCATCTACCTGTATTCTTCTACCATGGTTCTATTACTGTATCAGAACTGCGAGAAGGCAAAAATTTTTACTACGATAACCCATTTTCCCTTTATGTTATCGGAATAAATTGCAAAACTTTTAAATTCTTGTAGGTTCTGGAACAGAGCAATTGTTTATGGTTTACAATTTCCAAACTCTAAGGTGGGAATACATAAAGCGCTTATTTGACTGGCTTCTTCGGAAATGAACAAAGGAGCCTAGTGTCAAAATTGAACTAAGTCAACCTAAAACTTCTTTGTTCCTCTACGAAGAAGACAGCCGATGACTACAGTAAGCAAAATAATCGCTTTATGTATTCCCACCTTTATACACTAAAGGTGAAAATACCGGGTGAGATGAAAAAACTGCAACCAACTTCAGACTGCTGTCATTTCTAAGCCACTCGTCCGACAACTGTTAATTTTTTTCCAGTGACAGCTCATTATATTGTTTACAAGCGTGCAAAACATTTTCGTGAGAATTTTCCAGAAAAAAAGTTATTCGTGATGGAATTCAAGAGCTTGAGATTTCTCAATATTTGGCTGGAAAACCACAAGTGGCTATCGTTAAAGAACTCCAGCATTTAAATGTGAATAAATATTTTGTGTCTCGTACCATCGCTCGTTACCGATTACGTGATACTGGTAGCGGAAGTGGACGGAAGAAAACAGCAACAGCAGAAATGGTTCGAAAGTAAAGAAGCGGCTTGATCGAAACCCGCGTCGCAGTGGCCGAAAAATGGGTCGTGAGCTGAACATATCGCAATATTCCATTCGTCACATATTGAAAAATGAGTTCGGGATAAAGCCATTGAAATTCCAAACCGCAGCAGAAAATAAATAGACACAAAAGTGCTAAATAGTTGTTCGCTTGGCCGAAAGTGGTGAACTGCCGAATTTGGTTTCCTCCGATGAGAAAACACCACCAGAACTCAAACGCCGGCCATGGTGATGGTTTGGGCCGCCACAACAGCCGACGGTCGCTCTCCGCTCGTATTAATCGACCGTGGCATCAGAATAAATACCGAATATTATCGCGAAAATATTCTGGAGGTTGTATTAAAGCCTTGGGCACGCAAACATTTTGGCTGCAGACCTTCAACATTCCAACAGGACTCAACACCATCGCACCAGCACGTGCCAATCAAGAATGGTTACAAAATGAGGTTCCTCGCTCCATTTCTAGCACACAATAGCCATCCGTATACCAATCCGTTGAACTATTGTGTCTGGAGTATTTTGGAAAGCAAGTGTCGATCCCCTCAAGCAAGCGCTTCGCCGGGAATGGGCCAAAATACAGCAGAGAAACATTCGGGCAGCGTTAGACGGTTTCATTGTCCGTTTGAAGACCACAATTCGTGTTTCGAACAATGAATGCGTTAAACTTTTAAATGGTCGATAAAATAAAAGCAAAATTTCAATTTTCCTAGTGAAAAATAAATTATTTAATGACATAATGCAATGTAAAACACTTATTATCGGAAAAATAATGTTAATATTGAGATAATAATATTGCCTGAAATTTGTAAATATTTTTGCGTCGGCCACAATACAGTTGTTTTTCAATCAGCTGATGTTATGGGATAAATTTTACTTTGTAAATTTTACCAGTAAAATTGAACAAACTCTCAGTAACTCAACTGTCAAAATTGCATTTTAACTCGCTCTCATTTACTGTGGTTTTGGCTTATCGAACAACAATTAGTAATATATTGAGTACACACATAATAATCTCCTAAACAAATCGTTTTCTGAAGTTAATATTGGATCCCGAAGGGTTAACTTTAAAATATTTTCAAGAAAACGGTCCTAAAAATCGATAATTCTCAATGCATGATGGCTTTTTTGTGTACAGTACACCACTTCCCACAAACCAATTGTACATATCTCACAATGTGAATACCATTTCCGTTAGTTTGTCTTTTCGATAATTCATTTCGATTAACTTCACACCCGAATCGTTTCCTCTTGATTTGAACATAAACTTATGAAAACTAATTTGTAGGCATGAGCATTGATCAAATGAGTTCTAATGAAACACTATTAAATATGTCAAATTCATTGAAACTCTAATGCTAGGAACACAATTGGAGCGAACGACGAATTTTTTCGCGGCGTATGTTCGTCGTCAAAAATAAAACACATATGTGTATATGGAAGTGCACACAATCACGGCACCGGCGAAAATTTCGTCGGTCGCCGCGAACTCAATTAGCTTTATTTCTATTTCATACGCCGGCGACCGGCGAACAAAACAGTACAAGGTGGCCATACTTGTACGAATTTTATGTGTTTTAGTAAATAAAGTTACTTTTTACTTTAAAATTTGTTATGGTCACTCTACTATCTGTTACTCGTATAAAAAAACATAATTAATTTGTTTATTTATTTGTGTACTTGCGCCTGAGTGAAGATGGATATCAGTGAATTTATAATAGAGAAGATGGACATAAGTGAAATTATAATAGAGAACGTAAAGAATTATGTGTTCTTGTATAATTCATTGTAGTCAACAAATGAGCAAAAAGTAAACAACTTCATCAGCTGTTTTTTAATTTCGTCGGTATTGTGTTCCATACGACGAATTTTCGCGGCTCATTTTGTCGCCGCGTAGGGCGAAATTCGTCGTTCGCTCCAATTGTGTTCCTAGCATAACTCATCGAATACTCGTCAAAAGAAGAGCAAAAGTCATCATTGACTGAAAAAGTCGACAACAAACATCGATTGTCTCTCTAATTAAAATATCGATTTCTTTGCATTCACATCAATTATCTCAATCGATTAGACAAGTGTAGATCTACGTATCCCTAATGTGAGAAAAAAGCATAAAAAATCGAGACTAAACCAAGTTTTTTCATGTCGAAAATCTAATTAAATATTTCGGATAATTATTTCATTTCAACGCGTCGAGACTACAAAGAAATTTGTCAGTGAAATTGTGTTGTAATTAAACGGCAGTCCGTTGCATTTGCAACTTGCAGATTTTTTTCTCTCTCTGGGTACAACGAAGACGAAGAAACGCAGACAAGAAACGATAAAAACGATACCAAAATTGAATCTGGACAGACGTAAAAGATGGCGACCCGTACAAGTCGCATACAACAATCGAAAAACATAAGTTCTATATTTTCCAAGCTCCATGCCTCATTCTCGGAGGCATGTGGACCCCAACGCTTGTCCACGGACAAGAAGACGCTGGAGAAAACATGGAAATTAATGGACAAGGTAGTGAAATTGTGCCAGCAGCCCAAAATGAATCTGAAGAACAGTCCACCCTTCATACTGGACATTCTGCCCGATACGTATCAACGACTGCGTCTGATCTACTCCAAGAACGAGGACCAGATGCATGTGCTACACAACAACGAGCACTTCAATGTGTTCATCAACAATCTGATGCGAAAGTGCAAGCAGGCCATTAAGCTGTTCAAGGAGGGGAAGGAGAAAATGTTTGACGAGAACTCACACTATCGTCGCAATCTGACCAAACTCAGTTTGGTCTTTTCACATATGTTGAGCGAATTGAAGGCTATCTTCCCCAATGGAGTCTTTGCCGGCGATCAGTTTCGAATTACAAAAGCAGATGCAGCGGAGTTTTGGAAATCAAACTTTGGCAATAGGTAAGTGGCACACACGCACACGTGAAATCGGCCACCACCCAATACATGCAATGTGTGTCTGTGATTTGTTTACTTCCAGTACTCTGGTGCCTTGGAAGATATTTCGACAGGAATTGAATAAAGTACATCCCATATCGTCGGGCTTAGAAGCAATGGCCTTGAAAACGACCATCGATCTGACATGCAACGATTATATTTCAAATTTTGAATTTGATGTGTTTTCGCGACTCTTCCAACCCTGGGCCACCCTGCTGAGAAATTGGCAAATTCTGGCCGTAACACATCCCGGATACGTGGCATTTCTTACATACGATGAAGTCAAAGCTCGCCTACAACGTTACATACACAAGGCCGGAAGTTATGTTTTTAGGTACGTTAAATGATTAATGGACAGATGAATCATAATAAAAAATAATGGTGATTGTTGATGAATAATATTTGTTTATTCCCCCCCAAATAAAAACATAAACAATTAGATTGTCGTGCACACGATTAGGCCAGTGGGCCATTGGTTATGTTACTGCTGATGGTGAGATCCTACAAACAATACCACAAAATAAATCACTTTGTCAAGCGCTACTGGATGGTCATAGGCGAGTATTTTCCCACACTTTATCTAAGAAACCCTTTAACACCTTGCAGACCCACAATCATAATCCCACCAACCATCCATCCATCATACCCTGCCCGTTTGTGGTTAATTGAAAGAAAGCCCTAATTAATTAAATTTATTATCTTCATTGTTTATAGAGAGGGCTTTTATTTGTATCCCGATGGCAAGGCCTATAATCCAGATTTGTCTTCAGCTGTACAGAGTCCAACTGAAGACCATATTACAGTAACCCAAGAGCAATATGAACTTTACTGTGAAATGGGTAAGTGCGTGTGTGTGTGTGTGCGGGAGGGGTGTGTTGTTTGTCTTATCAGCCCAGATAATAATATCGTTTCTTTTCGATTTTTACAGGAAGTACTTTCCAACTATGTAAGATATGTGCAGAAAATGACAAAGACATACGAATTGAACCTTGCGGCCACTTGTTGTGCACACCATGTTTAACATCGTGGCAGGTGGATTCAGAAGGACAGGTATGCATAAATTTGAAGTTTATAACTAAAATTTAAATTCTTTAAGAAACAAATAGCTTTGAGGAGAATGATTTTGTTAAACAAAAATGCTTGTGAAAGTGAATGCCTAAAATGTGAAGAATTGATGGTGTAGGTCACCTAAACTGTGGGAAAAAATGGCCTGTGACATACCTCTAGTATCCTCATGTAACACTTAAGTTTTAATTTATCTCCTCCCCAATGAATGCAATGGCGTATAAATTTCTTCAAAGTGAAACTTGCGATACCCATTGAAACTTTAGGCATGATAATTCTACGATCATGTGCCGTTAATACTTGACGTCTAGTAATTGGCCGGCATGTGTGAAAGTTGATATTGTCTGTAACATAAAGCAAAGGAATGCCTCCGTCATGTCTGCATTATATATGGTCTTAACCTCACTCTATCATGTTCAGTATAAACCGTACAATTTTTATGCCCGTATTTCTCATTAATCTGGAGCCTAAATTTACCTAAGGTTATCTCGGACAAATAATATTTGAGCTCTTTAAGATTTAGACATATCATCTCTTTAACTGATTTCAAATTTAGTTTTCTCAATCGTTTCAAGCGGAATTCGAGACCTATTATGGATTTTTTTAAAGATAATATTTCAGATCCACTTTTCATTTTGAAGGAGTAATTTTTAAAGTATTACCAGATGTGACGTTTTTTTATGTGTTTGAAGGAGACGCGATTGTTTATTGCACCCATTATTTAAAATATTTTTTAAATATTGGTTGATTGAAGAACAACTTGGACTAATGCAAATTCAAGCGTGTTTTCGCAGGGCCATCTCAACTAAAGGTCTTCTGTGAGAAGGCCACCAGATCTTCTATGAGAAGACCACCAAGTGAAGACCACATGGTCTTCTATGAGAAGACCATCAGGTTTTCAATGAGAAGACCATCAGGTCTACTATGAGAAAACCACCTGGCATTCTATAGGAATATCAACTTTTTTCTGTGAGAAAACCTTTTGGTCTTCCATGAGAAGACCACCAGTTCTTCCATGAGAAGACCACCAGGACATCTATGAGAAGACCACCAGGTTTTCTATGAGAAGACCAGTGTTCTGCATTTTTTTTTTTTTTTTTTTTGTGAGAAAACCTTATGGTCTTCCATGAGAAGACCTTCTGATCTTCTTAGAGAAAACCTTCTAGTCTTCCTTGAGAACATTACCTGGTCTTTAAAAGTAAGACCAACTGGTCTTTTATAGGAGTACCAACTGCGCACCTATAGGACTACCAACTTATCTTCTTTGGGAATACCATTTGGTCTTCTTTTAGACCCAAGTGGTCTTCTGAAAAAAAAACTAATAGTCTTCTATAAGAAGGCCTTTTAGGGCGAGATGAAAAAACAGCAACTAACTTCAGACTGCCATTTCTAAGCCTCTCGTTCGACATCTGTTAAAATTATTCCAGTGATACCTCATTATATTGTTTACAAACGTACAAAAGCATTTTGGTGAGAATATTTCAGAGAAAAAGTTATTCGCGATGGAATTCAAGCGCTATATTAGGCTGGAAAACCACAACTGGCTATCGTTAGAGCACTCCAGCATTTAAATGTGATTAAATCTTTTGTGTCTCGTACCATCGCTCGTTACCGATTACGTGATATTCGTAGCGTAGACCGACATATGTCAAGGAAATGGACGGAAAAAAACAGCAACATCAGCAGAAATGGTTCGAAAAGTAAAGAAGCGAGTTGATTTAAACCCGTGTCGCAGTGGCCGGAAAATGGCCCGTAAGCTGAACATATCGGAATATTCCATTCGGGAAATATTGAAAAATAAGCTCGGGATAAAGCCATTGCAATTCCAAAAAGTGCAAGAACTTACACCGCAACAGAAAGAAAATAGACTCAAAGGAGCTAAAGAGTTGCCTCGCTTGGCCGAAAGTAGTGAACTGCCGAATTTGCAGCAGCTTTTAAGAGATCAGCTAAAAATGTACACCTTCGGTTGGCCACCAGAACTCAAGCGCCGGCGATGATGATGGTGGGGGCCGCCATAACAGTCGATGGTCGCTCTCCGCTCGTATTAATCGACCGTGGCATCAGAATAAATGCCGAATATTGTCGCGAAAATATTCTGGAGGGTGTATTAAAGCCTTGGTCACTTGGGAACATTTTGGCTGCAGACCTTGGACATTCAAACAGGACTTAGCACCATTGCACTCAGCACGCTCCTCCCTAGAATGGTTATGAAAAATGAGGTTCCTCGCTTCATTTCCCGCGCACAATGACCACCAAAATCTCCGGATACCAATCCGTTGAACTATTGTGTCTGAAGTATTTTGGAAAGCAAGGTTGGCACTAAAAAATACCAAAGTGTCGATCACCTCAAGCAAGAACTTCGACGGGAATGGACCAAAATAGGGCAGAACAACATTCGGGCAGTGTGTGATGGTTTCATTGGCCGTTTGAAGGCCATAATTCGTGCCGAACGTCACCAATTCGAACAAATCTAAACTTATTCTAAAATTTGACGTTATTTCCGACATTTTTCGCTTTCATTCAATGAAATTAAAAAAATGTAAAAATTATGGCCTTTGACTTTGTTGCAGTTTTTTATCTCACCCTCTCTAGAATACTTTCTGGTTTTCTATAAAAGACCTACTGGATCTAGACCAAGACCTAATAGTCTTCAAGTCGTTCTGGCCAAAAATATAAAGCAGAAATGCATATCAATATAAGCTAATGATTACGTTAAAGAAAAAGGAGATGCATCGTTGCGGATTTTTATTTCACTTAAAGACTTGTTTTTTTTATATTTTAATAATCCACATTTTTATAATCCACACTTATTTTTCATATTTTGTTTTTTTTTTTTTTTTTTCAGGGTTGTCCATTCTGTCGTGCTGAAATCAAAGGTACAGAACAAATTGTCGTGGACGCCTTCGATCCGCGTAAACAACACAATCGCAGTACCACCAATGGACGCCATCAGACAAACGATGATGACGACACTGAGGTATAGTTTAAAGATGATTAGTTATTAAGTTATTTTGTTTATGATTTTCAAAGTTATTATTAAAAACAAATACCGCCCATATCCATCCCCATTTTAAAAACGAAATCAATCGCGCCCTCCTTTTATCCACAACAAAGGAAAAAAATGAAAGAGTTATGATAAACAAACGTTTTGTGAATAATTGTGCGAAAAGAACAAAAAAAAAACGAAATTAGAAATTAGCTATAAACAAAATTGAGGAGCTCTCTCTTAGAGAGATTTAATTTCATTGTTTGTTTGTAATTTATTTGATTTAATACTTTTTTTTTGAACGAACAAAGCATGTATTTTTCGTTTTGTATAATTAGAATGATTTCCTTTTATTAGTTTTGGGGCTAGTGAAGTAAGTGGGGGGGAAAAAGAGTGTACAAATATTGAGATTTTGACTGAATTCGACAGGATTTAAAAAGAAAGTCATTTGGTGGGATTACAGTCTCAATGTAAAAAAAAAAACACAAAAAAAAAGAATCAAGCAAACAAACCGGAAGAAATTCTCATATGTATTTTTTTTATAATTTATATAAGGCTTTAAATTTCCTTTAAATTATTTATTTGTTTATGCATACACAACTATGTGTTTTGTTGATGCTCTTTAACGATATAATACGATATTGAAACAAAACGAAACAAAAAAAACTCACAAACTTTTTTCCAAAAAAAGATTCATTTGTACATAGCATCCTAGTTGTTAAGTTAATTCTAATAATCATGATAATGAAGATGATGATGATGAAGATAAACAAGTTACAAAAAATGCATATTTATTATTTTTTCATTTTTTTTTTCTATTTTTATTTTTTTATTTTTTTCTTTTCTAATATTAAAGAAATCTACAACTCTCCTTATGATGATTATGCTTAATCATAATGTGTAACTTTAGTCCTGTTATTCAAATTACTTCCTTAATTTATAGTGTATGTATGAATATTTTTGATTTTCTTAGTTTGTAATTATTAATAATTAGTTGTACAACAAAAATAAGCCAATTTTTGGCCACTCAAAACAAAACAAAAAATGCAAAAATTTTTTCAGATTTTAGAATAATCACCTACTCTTAAAGAAAAATGATCTGCAATGTTAATGTATTTTTCTTATATTAGTTTTTCTCTATCTCTGTCTCTCTCTATCTTTATTGTTTCTTTTTTATAAATTTGATCTATACCCTACACAGTGCTACAGAAATTTATATATACACCTAAGTCTGTTTTTACACGGTAGATTGGTTCCAGAAGAAGCCGTGTAAAAAAAAAACGTGTAAAAAAGACATTGGTCTTATACAAAAATGGGTGATTTGTTCCTAATCTCTAAAACCTATTAAAATTAGTGAAAAACAAGAATTTTTAAGAACAAGAATTCATGAAATCACCGATTGCTTAATTGCAATTTCATTTTTTCTTTATAGTTCTTATTGTGGCTTCATTTAAAGCGAACGTTTTACCAATAGCAGTTGAGCCTTCTCCATTTCGAAGACGATCTAAAATTTTAATCTTGGTTTCCAAAGAAATTGCCTTCTCTTTAAGTTTTTTATCTGACATTTCCTTTTAGGGATACATAAAATATTTAACAAAATTAAAAAACATAAATAACTGAATAAATACAAAATATTTTTTGGCTTACCTTTTATCTTAATGCGTTAAAATTAAATTTAAATTTAAAAATTTAAGTACATAACATTTCAAATCGTGCTAAATGGAATAAAATCGTGTAAAAAATTTTAAAATATTCAATTTTCAAACCGTGTTATATCAAAACCGTGTACAAAAAGACCATGTAAAAACAGACTTAGGTGTATATTTTAGTTTTGATTTGATTTCTATGACAGCTATTGTGCTTCAAGTTGTTTCTATGGCTTCTCATAAAAGGCCAACATGAAAATGGGAATCGGCAGGTGGTGTTCTGATTCCATCTTCCATATAAACAAGTTAAAAAAACGTTAAGTTCGGCTGGGCCAAACCTTTAATACCCTCCACCTTAGGGTAAATGAAATATTAGAACCCATTATGACCCACAAATACCAATTTTGAGATATTTATGGGAAAATGTGGCAAGAATAATCAAAATACCGAATTTCGGGGAAGTACCACTATATGGGGCTATACAAAAACGTGGACCTATACATACAATGTTTCAGGAGCTAGAATCCATTAGGACCCACAAATCAACATTTTTAGACAAATCCGTCAATAAATTTGGCAAAAATCATCAAAATACCGAATATCGGGAGGTATCGTTATATGGGGGCTATACCAAATCGTGGACTTATACATACAATGTTTCGCCACCGGAGCTAGAACCCATTATGACCAACAAATGCCAATTTTTAGACAAATCCGTGAAAAAATGTGGCAAAATACCGAATATTGGGAGGTACAGTTATAAGGGGGCTATACGAAATCGTAGAACTATACATGCAATGTTTCGCCACCGGAGCTAGGACCCACTGTGACCAACAAATACCAATTTTTAGACAAGTCCGTGAAAAAAAATGTGTCAAAATACCGAATATTGGGAGGTACAGTTTTATGGGGGCTATACCAAATCGTGGACCTATACATACAATGTTTCGCCACACGACCAATTATGACCTCCAAATACCAATTTTCAGACAAATACCTGAAAAAATGTGGCAAATATCATCAAAATACCGAATATTGGAAGGTACCCTTATATGGGGACTATATCAAAACGAGGACCGATATATCTCATTTTCAATACCAACCATCCTAGACACAAAACAAATTGTTCTGTTAAATTGTGACGCGCTACGTCAAATAATGTGGGCTGTATTGTGTTTTCAACAGACGGACGGACAGACAGACGGGCATCGTTAAATCGACTAGGAATTTTATGCTGATTATGAATTTATATACTTTATGGGGTCTACGACGAGTATTAAAGGATGTTACAAATGGAATGACAAAGTTAATGTACCCTGCTTTCCAAGGTGGAGGTTATAAAAATAGTGTGCTGTGGTCGAACCAGGACTCTTTATACCCTACAGCACAAGGTGGTCTGGGCATTATGTCTTTGTGTTTGTAACAGGCATAAGGAAACGAGATAGACCCATATAATTCATTTTGACGATCTCCATAGAATGACATTCTGAGTCGATTTATGCATGTCCTTCCGTCCGTCTATCTATTCATATATTTTTGTAAACAAAGTACAGGACGCATTTATTGCCCGATCCAGATTAAATAATTTGTTTGACCCAAGGACCCTATTAAAATTTGTGATAATCGGTTCAAATTTAGATGTAGCTCCTATTTATATCTTCAACCGATTTCGGGTTAATTGTGCACCAAATGGTCAATATCAGTCCAAATGATCTGAATTTTGGTACATCCGACCGAATTCAGTCTAGAAGCAAGTACAATAAATTTGTTAAAAATCCGATCAGATATAGCTATAGCTCCCATATATATGTTTCATCCGATTTGGTGTTTAAATGCCTTACATGCGTATTAAGCACTTCACAACAATGATATTTGGTACCAGATATCTGATACAGCCCAAAAATACCTCTGCCAAATTTTATCAAGATCGGTTCGGGTTTGAATATAGCTCCCCTATATATCTTCAACCGATTTTGGGTTAATTGTGCATCAAATTGCCAATATCAGGCCATCCGGTCAGATGTACCAACCGAATTCAGTTTAGAAGCAAGTATATCAAATTTGGAGAAAATCGGTTTAAATATAGCTATAGCCCCTATATATATGTTTCATCCGATTTGATGTTTAAGTCCCTCACATTCGTAATATGCATTCGACAACAATGATATTTGGTATTACATATCTTATATGGCTCGGAATTACATTTGCCAAATTTTATTGAGATCTGCTAAGTTTTGGATGTAGCTCCCATATATATCCTTAATCCGATTTCGGTTTTATTGTGTAAATAATGGCTAAAATCAGCCCAAATGCAGTGAATTTCAAATCAAACTCTAACTGCTCTAAAGCCAAATGTTGATAGTAGGGTATAATCTACTTCAAATAAATTGTTTTGTTACGGGAGCTCTAATAAATATGCATAGTGGTGTAGGGTATCATATAGTCGGCCCCGCCCGAATTTTGACTTTTCCTTACTGGTTTTGACTTTAATTAATATCCAGGTTTCCATGACCCCAGCCTTCAATCTTGGTAATGTTAACTTATTCCACAGTTGGAGTCTCTCTGGGGGGAAAATTCTCTCATTTGGTATTGAATAAATTCGAATGAAAAAAAAAACACTTTGATATTCGATTTTTGCCATGCAACAAAATATCAAATGTTTGAATTGAACGCAAGTTATTTCTAAGACATTTTTCATTTAATCAATTTTCTCTATCGAATGCGATAATTAATTTTATTCTATAAGACTCGAAAAAGAATCATGACATATCGTATTTTTACATTTTTTTTTGTTACTTCTGACTGATTTTATTTTATTGTTTCATAAATTTATATTTTTTTGTAGCACTGTGTTCCAACTGTAAAAGAATTTATTAAAAAACTAATGCTCTGTTTCAGAACTGCAAGAATAACCGATTTTTTGTTTTATTGAAAAAAATAAAGAAATAACGATAAAGGATTTTTCCTTTGTTTTATTGAAAAATAAAGAAAACTAATAGATTCTTGCAGATTCTGGAACGTAGCAACCTATATACACTTTCTTCCTGACTTGTTTTGTATGTATTTAACTTCTTCTTTTTCTTTTTATCACACACTTACATACATCTAGTTTGTTTTAAGAAATAGTGGCATAATTAGTATGAAAATATATATATTTTTTTGTTTATTTTGCATTTTCTCCCAAAGATTTGTAGAAATTAGCATTTTTTTTTATAAATTTATTAAGATCAAACAAACAAAGTTTTATAGTGAAAAAAAGATAGTAGCTTGACAGGGTGTTTCAAAATTAATAAATATCAATGGAAACTATACTCCAGTTGAAAGTGAATTTCAAATAACTTATTT